AGCCGGGGGGGAGTGAGCTGGGAGGGGAAGTGTCTTTCCCGCGGCCTCTTTCCCAGGAAAAGGGGGTGCGTGGTTCGCTCACTGTGTTGTAAGTGACGGCAGATCCTGGTCCGCGGTCGGGAATGTTTGCGGTCCTGTAGGCGAACAGGAAGGATTTTCGCGGAGCGGGATCCTTCGGCCGCCCCCACCCGCCTCCTTTGATCTGATGGGCTTTGAAATCCCCTTAGAAATTAAAGATTAATTAGCCCCAAAGCGAGAGTGGCAACAATGCATGACAAAGGCGAAGATTAGGCTTTACGAAGGCAGTGCAAGAGTAATGGGCAGCCACTCCTAAACGAGCTGTGCGCACAAATCGTGTGCCAAAGAAAATCGATCCGATTCAGCCTGGGTGTGTCTAACACTGCCAGGGATTGCCAGGGCCGGGCTGTTTATTTAGAGACAGTCTATGGTGTGGGAGGGTGAAGACACAACCCCTAACCTCTTCCAGCCTCCCAAGACAAAAGCAAAACAATCCCCAAGGTCCGTCCCCAAGGAAACCTCGATCAAAGAAAGGTATTCGGCGGTGTCGGGTGTACGGGTGTGTTTATATGCATTTCACGGTATTTTGCGCTATGTATCCAGCGTTATCAGTGCGTGCAGCCCGGTTGATTCCTCCGTGCGCCGCCGGTGACCGGGACGGCTCTACCAAAGGTGTAAGAGCGACCGCTGCCCTGAATAGGACCAGCTTATGCTCGCCTCACGGGCAGGAGGAAGGAGTCCCAAAGCAAGTGCTTTGAGATTGCCTGAACCGAAATGAGCTTTACGAAGCAGCCTTTTACTGGAGAGATGTTTGAACTCTAGTTGAAGGGGATTTAGGGGGAATGGAGAGACGATTCCAACAGTTACTACTGGGAATGCAATATCGGGTCCCCTACAATGCTTACTTAGGCTAATGGAGGTCCTGTCATTCAGCTCCCATTGCGCTGGGATACAGGGTAAACATTCCCCGGTGACCCTCTGCGTGCAGGTCCCCTCTTCAGGACATCATTAAAAGCATACATGCACTTGCCTGACATCAATTGTCAGGCTGGCTCTCAGGGTTCAGAGATCCCGACAGAAAGCAGGAAAACAAGCCCAGTGGAGACCCGGCTCTGCGGCTGCGGGTTTTAAAGAGGCTGAAAATCGTTTGGTTGCGGGTGTGTAAGAAGAGACAAAAGTGCTCAGCAGGTAAGAGCGGAGGGTTTTGCCAAGAAGGAACTGTCCTTGATCGCTGTGACAGGATTGACTCGCTGGGGACTCCTCTCTCGGGAACATCCACGCGTCCCCGAGGGGGCTGCCTGTCTCCTCTCATCAGCATCACGGCGAGAAATTTTACAGCCGCTCTTTCTAGTCCTGCTAATCCTGTTATCCGGGGGGTTATAAATATTAACGCCGCTGGGGCTGGGGATGGGGGACCAGATTAAGCCCTCTCTGAAGTAAGATGTCAGCCGGCCTCTTCCCAGCCCACCAGCGCCCGGGGCTGCTGGATGAGCTGCACGGCAGAGCCCCGCAAGTGCCCTGCCCAGAGGGGTTGCTGGGCGCCTCGGTGCTGGATTTCGTGGCCGACCTCTCCCTGG